TTAGCAAACGTCTATCATATCTATATAAATTGTAGTCTAAAATATTGGCCAATCACAGAGATCTTCACCTATGCTGTCGAGACCATCTTTTTTATTGCTACTATAAACTCACTCGACCGGCCGAACTATTTTTTACTAATTAAAATTTTATGCTCCGACATATTAATTTAAGTGCTTGAGGGCACCCTAAATCACAAGTGATGCTAACACCACGAGTGCTATATCTCAAAAAGCTAACTAATTAATTGTTGTTAGATGTATAAAATTATTTAAAAGTATTGATAAATCATTTTAATTTTTAGTAAATTCAAATAAATACTAAAAATATAAAAAATATTTAAGATACGGTTACTATGCACTTATCTAGAAATTAAGAGATTAAATGTTCTTATAAATACTATAAGTTTTGATACTAAGTTGCTAGAATAGATAAGATTTTATTGTTTCATTATTATTGCTTTTTAATCATTCATACAACATTTCATATTCTCTAGAGTATGTTCATTAAGTTTGATGCATCTCTCAATGTTTTTTTTTATACAGCAAATTTGTATCGATCATTTCTCTACTGATAATCTAAATAATCTAATGTTGTGTCGTTATTCAGTTTTTCAATAATTATTTTAGTAAAGTTATGGATTTAAAGGTTAGCACTCAGATATTTATTATTTAATAACTTTTTAATGTTATGGCATCTTTTTATTTCAATGTCTTCAAACTCAATAGCCTGATCAAAAATATTTAATGCGGTAATACTATTTAGTCTAATTTACAAGATTTATTTGAATCTGTTATTGACTCCATGTATTTATACAAATTAATAATGCATAGGATTATTTGATCTCATATTCACATCATATGGATGACTTCCTAAGGATTCATTTAAATCAACAAATGATTTTTTCTATATACCATCTTTTAATATATAAACCTATGATGAACCAATAACATAACAATCATCCAATTTATCAAATGATTTTTCATCTCTACCCACATTTACAATTTTTAATGGTTTATTAAAATCAGCAAGCGATTCATGATTGTTCAATGCAGTAGTACCGTTTAGATTGATTGCTAATGCTTTATTTAGGTCAACAAATGATTCATGCTAGTGATTCGAAACGTTGCATTACGATTATTCAGTATTGTTATTTTATTTTCTTTAGGTTTTAACACTTTATTTCACATATACTATTCATTCTTGGCAAGAGGTTTTTGAAAGTATGTGCGTCAAGAAACTTCCTTGTTAGAGTTTATTGTAGATGGTAATTAATCTAATAATTCATTAAATTCGTATAACCCGATCCTTTGGGGTTATCTGGAAAGGCATAAATTACAGTGATGCTTGCCATCATCTGCAAATCTAAAAAAGCCTCTATGTACCAAATTAAAGATTTAGAGCATTATTTTGATATGTATTTTGAAAAAGAATAAAATTGTGCAGATCATAAAGGAAAAAAAAATGTCACGGCGCATTAGCGGAATAAGCAAACAATTGGTCACCAATCCAATCATTTGGTCCCCTATTTTAAATTTTGTTTATATTAAACAAACAACGTTAACCCCGAAAAAAAATTTCGGACCCCTGATCTACCTCATTAGACATAGGAATTTATTAAAATGACGCATCATAACTTGGGTCGAAATCTATATTTACATCTTAGTAGTCAAAATTTTCAATTTTGAGGTAGTTTACAAATGCGCCATAATGTAGTTTTTTAAATTACAATTACTGACATCAACATCAGTAATTAGATGCTATGATCTTAGGTTATCAACTGTGGCAAAAATTGTAATTAATTGGATAAATGTGACTGCGCCACCAATCAATTAACCAATCAATTAATAATTTACTTATTAAGAACCAATTTTTTTAAAACAAATCACGGTTTAATTTCTAAGCCCTGTAGTCCCATCACTAGCCTGTTAGGAGACCCCAAATAATTTTGATAGATGTGGTCTGTATATAGTATCAAATTTTTTTTATAAAATTTTTTCCTCTTACAACTAAAAATTAGAATCCCAAGTTTTGAATGAATCGATAGAAGGTCTCTGCAATGTAGGTTACAGAGCCAAATTTTATAATTGTTTAAAAAAAAATTTTGTCAGCAGCTTAAATTTCGTCCAGATTATCCAAACAACAAATACACAAAGTAAGTTAGAAAAGAAATTTGTTCTCCAAATATAATGTAAAAAACGGCTCTGTAACTTTGTTACTGAGAAAAATTTTCTACAAAAAAAAAAGAAAATTTCAACATATGCATCTAATATATATATATATATTTATTACTGATTAATCACACTAATGAAAAAATTTCGGTAAGCACCTATATTAGTGACCACATAGTTTTTATTCACTTAGATGACAGACCACCACGATACTACGTGGATTAATGGCTAGCATTAATCAAAAAATTTGACAAAAACTGCAATCTGATTTGTTAAAAAATTTTAAATGAAAAAAAAACTCGAAAAAAGTGGATAATGCAACAAGAAATTTCAATGTAAACTCTAGTATTGCTCGGGTTTTATTGTAGGTATTTCTAAATACAGTATATCAATCCGAGGATTGTATAATTTTTTACATTTACGAATTTATTTCAATATTTTAATATCACAGAGAAATAAATAAATAAATAAATAAATAAGCTCCTACTAAAACGCACATACCCATGAATGTATTATCGTTATTTCAAAACTGGCTAATAATCTGTACGGGATGTTCTAAGTAAATATGCTATATGCCCCCAGAAACCCATCCCGAACCTTAATTCTAACTCTAAATACTAATCCTAGCGTGAAAAATTTTGCGTTGAAAATATAATAAAAATATGATATATGCCAAACCACTATAAAAACGTGTTTTATAATAAACGAAGAAAAAATTAAACCCATTTATTACATGATATCAAATTGCAACTGTTCTTAAATACTACTCGCTAGATGAATCCTTTTTTATGTTATCAATAATGGACCATCCAATCACGGGAGAAACAACAGATTCACCATCAAGAACCTCTTGATTAGCACCAAAAAATCCAGCTGTAAACTTTAAATCTAATCCAATATCAGTAGTAAAAGGAACCTCAACAATTCCATCTGGAATATCATCAAGTTCTGCTCTATCATGTTTTAAAGGGTTTCCTGAACGATTATAAGGAAAGAAAGCCAACATCCACCCAGTAATAAAAGTACCACCACCAGAACCAAATACTTCATCTATCTTTACAATTCTACCCCAAAAATCTTCATTAACTTCACCAAGATAAGTTGCTACTAAATTCAAAATTACTGGTTCAAGGCGATCTAACCAAAAATCTAATTCTAAATTCAAATTTCTTAGTCGAACAATTTTTTCTTGTAGCTTTGTCCAATCTTCAAGAGATCCTTCAAGTGTAATTTTTGGAATTCCACATCTAAAACATAATTTGTAATTAAAATAAGCCTTAACCATGTCTAACAATACAATACGGCTTGCTGCCAAGACGCTTGAAGTTGTTGTTGAGAAATTACATTCTAATAATTCTTTCAGATCTATTGTTTCCACACGTTCACCAGTTTTAATGACAAGTCTGTTTACAGCTTCTGGCCAATCTCCTTCAAGTGTAGTTTCGGATATAATGTCGCCAACAAAAATTGAAACTAATTCCTTTCCATCATGTTTAACAAATTTATTACGAAATTTTTCTGCATTATAATTAATATGACGGCTAACGCCTTGAGAAATTGTAAGCCAAACATCATCAGGGCTCAAGCGTAAATGTTTATGATAATTATAGGCATGGAAGATGGCAGCTGCAAAGCCATTACAACAGTAAGGATCTTTAAGAATGGTCTTTTTAGAATTCGCATCACCATATCGAAATGAATCAGAAAATACTTTATGATCTTTGAAAATATTGGTTATTTGATCTTTAACGGAAATATGAGGTTCTATTTTATTGTCAAGTTTAATTTTTTTGGTCAGAATTTGAGTACTTCGAACGGTATTATTAGTTGGATTCATTTTGTGTTATCAGTATATTGAATTTTGAGTTTTTATAATCTTATATTTAATTTATTTTATGTACTACCGCTACGTAAAATGGTTTACTAATTTTAGAACCATTCTTTTACTACTCATTGTGTACATAGATCATGTGGCTTTAAAGCTGCGCTTCGCTATACTATATTTGGAAATAGTCAAAGCCATGTATAGTATGCAATAAATTGAGGGTTTCCTGATTGACTTCATTCGAAAAAGACAGGTGGCGCTTAGCGCCACCTGTCGTGCTAGTGTTCACTTATAAAATTAAAATAGAAGACAATTCTCCTGAGAAATGACGTTGCTAATTCTAAGATCGCCTTACATCCAAATTTTCGAAAAATTTGACAAAATGCTGAATGTTCAGAGGAGGGTAATTTCGAGTAACCAGGGTCCTAAAAATTTTCAGATCATGTGATTTACATTATCGGTCTGCAAGTGCCAAGCACTACTAAGGTATGGCAGGCACCATTAAAGGCATAGGCGCAGTCAGCGCATTAAATTACGCAATCAGATCATAATCACGTCATAATGTATTAACCCATTTTTTAAAACATTTGCGAGTGGATTCAAAAAATTCTCGATTTGCCCATCCCCTAGGCACAAAGTGTCTATCACTAGTAAAGACATGGGCACAAAGTGCCAGGCACAAGCGCAAGGTACAATTAAATAATAAATACGTACCAAATTTCTGTGCCTCTGCCCAAAGTTTTAGTGCCCGTACCTTTGCCAAAATTCTATGCTCATATTATGTAATGGCTATGCCTAATTTTCCATGCCCGATCAAAGAAAATTTTCATGGAATACATTAGGCCATACAAAATTAATCAATTGGTTTTCATAACCGGCCAGGTCAAATTTTAAAAGCTTATAAAAAAATTTTTTTATATGTTTTAATAACCGGGTGGGTTTTTAAAAAAATTTTTACAAAAATTTTATAAAATTTATATATGAAAATTTTAAAAAAAGCCGAACGGCCGGGTCTGTTTAAAGTTTCATGTTATGAACACCAAAGATATTAAATTTGTGTGGCTTATTATTTTACTTAAAATATTTTTTTAGTATGATATAAACGGTCAATCATTAACTAATTATTGATCGATTATATATGTAATTTTTTTGATCAATGTTCGAGCAATGATTTTTTCTGTCGAGTCAATACACTAATTGCAGTTAGCGAGTATAAAGAAATTTTTATTAATCAAATATTTAAACTAAGCTATTCAAATTTCATTTAACATACTGCAGTACATGTGTGTAAAGAACATTTATTAATCCAAGTATTTAAATAAGCTACTCATGTTTATGTTAATTTAGTGGCGAGTATAATATATAGTTATTGGATGCGAAGCAGCCAATAACAGAATTATTTGCAAAATGATTCATTTTATCTGGCTGTGTACATAACACCCAATAACGGGTTTATTGGGTGGCTTACGATGACCGAACCAAAAGAATAATTCGAGTTCTTTTGGTAATAATTGCGTCATTATCTAATAACTAAGTTACTCGATGACCAAAATAACTCAAATTTATTCTGTTGGTACGATCATAGTAAGCCAGTAATTTATTAATATAACTGATATGTTATTAAAGTTCATGTAGAGTTACCATCTAATTTCATTTCAGTTCGTAAGTATAAAGGTATTTATTTTAATCTAAGTATTTAAATCCATGAATATTTACTATTTAATTTATCGATATTATTTTTGTTTGCCTACAATAAATTCTTTATACTGCAAATCGTGCAGAAAATAAAGTATCAGAAACTTTTTGTAAAAGAAAACTGGTCTGAATGTTTAACATGTATTAAAGAAAGTAAAAAGCGAAAATATGTACAGTAGAAAGTTCTACTTTACCTGAATTAAAAGAAAATTTATTAGGTTACACGTAGTGCTTGTACATGGGTATAATTTATTGAATTACAACTTCGCATAACATGGCATCAAACCAATTTTTACAGACGAAAAATTAAAGCCTTGCTTATGGTTAGGGTAAGGGTAGGTTTAGGATTGGACGAGGTATAGCCTAAATCAATATTGCGCAAGAAATTTTTTGTTCAAAGCAAAACCCTATAAGAAATTTTTACACGCGATTGCACATGACTGCACGAAATATAGCACGTCCAAAGCACGGAAATCAA